GAAACACACACACAATAACAAAAGGCTTATTATTAAATTATCGAGGAGAAGGAGTACGAAGAAAAAACAAGACGGAAACGAGATCGCGAAAATCCTGCCCTTCGATGCATGATGAATTGCCCACGCGATGAATTAGCTTTTAAACAGATTGAGAAAATCGGGCTGGGGGAGGCGGACTTTAATATAAACGAATCCGAGCCGAAACGAACCGGAAAGTGCAATTGTTGCCAAATTTTCACGGACAGGTGATTCGTCGACGGGGATTAATTGCCCCAGAAAGCCGACTTTATTAGCTTGATTCGCTTTTCGGTGAATAATAATTGACAGCAAATACTTATACGACGTTTACCGAACAGATGGAGTGCGTGATATTTACTTGACCTTTTAAAAACCTAATGTTAACGTTTTTATAAAGTTACAACCTGCTTCATGTTGACACAGCCAAGCTTTTATTACCACTATTATATCACTCAAGTAAACCAAGAATTATTACAACCTGAAAAAGTTCAACATTTTCTCCACCATACACAATAACCACACATCTGCCAGGTAGTTATTACACACCTAGTGGAGAGCTTTAATGCAAAAACCAAATTACAACTATTAATTAAGAAATACTTCATTTAAAATCCCATAATTACCAGCATGTGTGCAAATCAACATTTCTCCAGTAGACTAATTCGAAGAATGGCAATCTAGACGATAAAGATCAGCATTCTATAAGCAGCAATTACAATTCCAAAAAACCAAAACAAAAATCCAAAACCATTTTAACACCGGCAATAAAGCAAGCCAGAGAAATGAGAAAAGTCGGTTTATAACCTAATCTCGTCGCCTCGCACTTCACGCTTTAACTCCACCATGATTACCGCCACCAACCCTTTCGCTTCTTCCCGCCACCGCCGCCCTCGAAAAAACGTGAGAATTGGGTCATTTTCGTGATTAATGGAGGGAGGCGACGAGGGGAGTACGCGCCCTGCCTCCCCTCTCGCGGCCATTACGCCTATTAATTACCTTCGTTCGCTTGTCAGTAATAGCCAACTACCGGGCAATTGTCTTCCTCTCGAAAAAAATTAATGACTAATTTTAACGATGAGATTTAAGTACGGTCGTTAATGGTAAAACTGGTCTTTATTACACTCATTTGGCTCTTTTCTGCATAAATATTGCATCGGGGGCTGTAAATCAAGCCGCCGACGTAGGCCGCGGAACAAATGAAGCATCGCGCAAAAAAATCTTTCATTAAGGGGTGGTGGGGGTGGCCAGTCGTAAAACAACAATGTATTTTAATACCAGAAGCTCATTAAACGACACTAAACGAGGGTTAATTACGTGTCAGAGTCGCGAAACATGAAGATGTACGCGTATGAGCTGAAACGTCGCGATTTTTCTCTCGATCTGAAGAATTGTGCTCGGCGATATCAACACGGTCGAGCAAAAACCGCTCCGGCTACTGGAATTCATCTTGCGGACCTGTGGAAGCAGGAAAGCGATTGGGGGAGAGAAGGAGGCGAGGAATTACACGGGCCACTGTTGCGGTCGTTCATGTTAACGATAATTATAGAGGGGCCGCAGGCGGTAGGAGGATACGTTTGGACGATTGGATTAGGTTTCGGTCGAGTGAAAAATTATTTTGTTGCTTGTGGAGTTATTAAGAGGGTAATTGAGGAATTTTGAGAGGATTTTTGTGGTTGGGTTGATGGGAATGGGTCGAGAGATAGATAGTAGTTATCGAAATAAACATAGAAACCTTATGGATATCAGTCCAAGGACTGGATAAGTGGCAGTTACATGCATACATAATTTTCTTGACGATAGAAGTTATCGTTCTAATTGTTATTTTTATTCGGATGTTTGTAGTTATCGAGGAATTGTTGTTGCTTGTTAGTCATTGTGGTTAATTACCTAGTAAAATAGCAAAGTGTTGTTGTATAGGTAATAGTAATGAATGTAAATAATTATGTTTCGAAATTGATTAGGCTGCAAATGGATTTTTTTTGGTTTTGTGTTTTTAAATTACTCAATCGTCTACTAAAAATTAGGATTTCAAGTACTCACTACGTTTCCTGTTTGAAACGGTTGGAATTCTTGTCTGAGTTGTTGTCCAAGTGAATTTTATAAACTGCTTGCAGATGGTTTACAAACTGCACAATATTTAGCTCTGCATGATTTCTAAAAATAAATACCACGTTGGAGACTCGATTAGATTAATTATGTAGTCGGCTATATTCGGAATTTCCCCACTTTGGATTTCCTACTCAAATTTGTTAAAATTGTTTCGGTTTAGTCAATTTGACATTCATTATGTCGATTTTGGTTGTCACCTATTATTAATAATTAATAAATATGGGTGGTTTGTCGAACGTGCACCGAGATCGGTATGGTGCACTGTCCATTACCATCACACATTTTCGTTGCAAGTTATTCAAAGCATCAACAATTTCGGTTAGTTTTATTTTGTTGGAGGATAAAGTTGATAAGCTTTCGCTTTTGGTCACAAGAAGTTTACCAGAAAAACCTGTAAAGGGACAGATAGCCATTTAAATGAACCATTTGTTAACGCTCTGATAGAGATGCTAAATATGAAGAAATACAGATAAAAACTGACCTTGTATGTCGTCAGGCTTGGGTTTATGTAACACTAAGTTGTAGTCCACCCAATGGAACACTTTACTAAAATCAGTACTTCAATATTAGCACATACTATAATTTATGTAGGCCTTGTTTTCTAAATTATTTTACGTTATTTTGTCCTCCACTGTTTGTTTAGTTTTTTAGAGCATTGTTGCAGTTTCTTTTTGTAATCTTTCGACTCTTTTGCAAACTGTTGTTGTATTTTAAATTCTTTACTGTCTGCGTTTCAGTTGGTAAAATATTTTATTCAATATTTTATTACATTACGTCATAGTATACCAAAATATAACAGAAGAAGTGAGAACAAACGAAGGTATATGACGTCCGATTCGCAAATGGCGATTATCGATTCCTATTCAAGGTCATATCTTGTTACATTGGTACCTGGAGTGCCTTGATCCCTCGTCGGACCCTCATGTAGCAAAAAATTGTGGAAAACGGTATTTCTAGATACGACTTTGTCAAATTTGGTTCATACCTATGAATTTGTTATAACTTATAACAATTTGCTACTAGATAATCATGAGAGCCATGTAAGCGTTCATGCTACTATTTTTGCCAGAAGTAATGGAATCACATTGTCAATTCTTTCGCCACACTGCTGTAATAAATTACATCCCCTTGATATTACAGTTTATTCCTCCTTTAAGTCCCGACATAACACAACCATGAGCAACTGGATGTTATCCAATCCAAGCAAAACAACTACAGGGTGGGTGGGCGGGCCTAGTACCTGGTAAGATAAAACTGATTTTGGCAAATGAGATACCCTCTAATTGCTATATTTCCTGATCCTGGTCATCCACAAAATTTAGATTGCTTTATAGCGTAAATGTGAGAATTTTTTTGGAAAATCAATTTGATGGAAGGTGGATTGGAAGGGTGGAGCAACAGAATGGCCACCTAGGTCTTCGGATCTGACACCCCTTGATTTTTTTATAAGAAAATTTAAAAAGTCGTGTTTACATAAACATACACGATAATTTAGACGACTTGAAAGCACGAATTTGTCATGAAATGTCTCATATTAGTCACTAGAGTATTGAAAATTCCGTCAATCAGGTCTATAATTCTGTCAATCAGATCTATAATTACTTATAATTATGCCATCATCTGGGTTTGTGTTGGATGGTGAATGGGGAACAGTGTGAACAAGTTCTATAGCATAAATTTTTACTCCAACGTATTGTTATATTTATTTATTATTTATCATTGAAATCAAATTTATTTCGTTTTTTATTAATTTTCTCTTTTTTTTTGTTGTGCAACCCCTACATCAAACTACATTTTCATATGCAGAAAAATAAACTTTATCATATAATGCCGTCAACAGCGTCCCATTTAAAAAAATCATTGATGACGTTATAATTTTTCAAATTTGACGTAAAATTTTTTTGACGTTTGTCAAAAGATGGAAATTAAAATAAAAAGCTTCACCAGCATGTTTTTGCTTTTGTGCTTTTTCTGAATTTTGTGCATTACTTTATTATCGTGACCCTGTATTGTCCTTAACCCTGCCCAGATTTGGTTTACTTACCTTGATTAGAACCATTATTTTTTCAAATTTTTGTAAACATATATTTCAGGCAATTCAAGGTTAACAATTTGAAACTATTCATTTCTAATTACCTCTTGAAATGGAATTTTATTTCTTTCAGTAGAACTAACAGTTGAAAATTTATCTTCCGGATCATTTATACCGAGTGTCTGTAAAATGGCGGATTAACTCTTCGCTAGGCTTTAAACAATTAACTGGTGAGTCTGGGAAAAATAGCAAAAAAATTTCTTCTCACATTTTGGTGGAGTCATAATGATTTTAAAATGGTTCTTTTGAAACGTTTAACAACTGAACGCCACATTCATTATCACAGTAATTAATAATAAAACTTTTAGTTAATATTTCTTTCGCCCATGACCATGTATAATTACCATTTCAGTTAGAATGTACAGAGATATGGTTGTTTGGTTTTTGTCATAATTGATAAAATTCGATAGCGAAGGTATAATTTCGGAAATTTCATTCTACTCTATAAAATTTTATTGACAATAACGAGATGGACAGCAGTACAATGGTATGAAATATTTACGACTCGCACCAGGGGCCTTATTCTTGAACTCATGCGACTCACTTTCGTATACGAAAATCGTTCATTTCGTATACGATTGTCAAACTTCGCATTCTTGAACCGAAAAACGGTCAGTCGTATACGAATTTGTCGTACGAAAAGCAACGCATGGTCTTTACCGAGCGAAAATGAATTTCGTATACGAAAGTGGGTACGATTATTACCGAACTCGTACCGAAACTCAGCGAAGCGCATTGCTGACAACTGACTGATGGAGTGATTTTGAGGTTAACTCACATGTTTATGTTTACATTTTCTGTTGTGATTGTGTGAATAAAAAAAAAAGTGCCTTTAGGTAATTGCCGATTTATCGAAAAGTAAGTAAAATTACAGTGTTTTCTTTTTAAAATATAGAGATATGTTGTGTGAACAGAAAATGGGTGATTTAGTTCAACAAGCCGTTTTAAATGCCGAAGAAGAAATTGAAATAGCAGCACAACGACACAGACCTCCGCGTTTTCACACGCGAGACGATCCATTTCAACTGCTTTCTGATGCAGCATTTTTAAAGATGTACCGGATGACAAAAGAATTAGCACAAAATATCATTGACTTGGTGGACCCCTACATTGTACCACAAACGAGGTGCTCTGCATTGGACACATCAGTAAAAGTAAATTATATAAGACTTTTATAAATTGTTGTATTTAGTATTTTTATATTTTACAGGTCTTAACAGCACTTAGATTTTTTGCTTCGGGCAGCTACCAGCTTGACATTGGTAAAAATGTGAATAGTGCTGTCAGTCAGGCTTCCACAAGTCAGTGCATCAATGAAGTCGTTGAGGCTCTAAATCAACCCCAAATTTTTGATGAGTGGGTTAAATTTCCCCAAAATTTTAGAGAACTTAATAATATACGAAATGAGTAGGTTTTTTATATTTTTATCTTAATTATGTGAATATCAATATAATATCTAACAGGTTTTATCAGCGATACCAGTTTCCGGGGGTCATTGGTTGTGTAGATTGCACACATGTTGCAATTGTACCTCCAAAATCAAATGACGCAGTGTATCCAGAACATATTTATGTGAACAGAAAAAATTATCACTCTATAAATGTTCAATTGGTCAGTATGATAAAAAATAAAGTAACATTAACAATAAGTCTTATATATAGGTATGTGACGCTAACCTGCGGATTTTGAATGTAAATGCAAGATATCCTGGAAGCACCCATGATAGTTTTATATGGAACAATAGCAACGTGCTAGACTTCCTACAAAACTTGCATACTCGAGGTCATTCGACTTATTATGTTTTAGGTAAATATTAAGCAACATTTCATATAAATCAGGCAAAAAATATTTTTTACGCAGGTGATTCAGGATATGCTCTTAGGCCTTGGCTCATGACGCCAATTCAAAATGCCGTCCCAAATACCCCTGAAGGTAGATACAACGAGTCGCAGAAAAGGACACGATCTATAATCGAAAGATGTAATGGTGTCTTGAAAATGAGGTTTAGGTGTTTGCTTAAACACAGAGTGTTGCATTACCACCCCGAAAAAGCGGGAAAAATAATCAAGGTCTGTGTAGTATTGCACAATATGTGCATTGCTAATCATGTAGAAGAACCAGAAGACAACGATGAGGTAGAAGTGGATTTTGGTATGAATGTCAATGATGAGCAAATTGCACATAACGAGCGAGTCAACCCGCAACTTGCTGCAGGGCGCACAATGCAAGCTCGAATAATAAGAAATTATTTTTGAAAATAAATGAAATATATTTATTATTTTATAATAGACTACCATTATTTCTCCTTAACCTATTGGCGATTATTTTCAGCGATTCTGCGATTTCTTCTTTGGCCTTTACTTGCCGCTCCAATAAAAGAATTTTTTTTTCATAATATTTTTCTTTCATTTTGTTTTTTTCCGTGGTCAGTTTGACCAACTGCTCTGATGCTTTTAGACTCTTGTCTAATCGTTCTGCGGGACGGGCTTTCCGCTTTCTAGAAAATTGGGGTTTTTCTTCGGGTAAAATTCTCTCTTTTTTTTTCTCTTCCACTTGTTCTTCTGTCGGCTCTAACAATTCTGCTGGCAGTTGAGAAGAACTATCTCCATCCCAATTAAACCTAATCGTGGACTCGGGGACGTCTTGACCTTCTATAACGGTATTTCCAATTATTTGTATTATTTTCTCTTCCCCTAAATCTAGATCTTCCGGAGGTGGACCACCACCGGTTTTCTTCGATTGTTTAATTATGTCAGCCTTTTTCGACTTCGTTTTAGCCTTCAAGTCCTGCCAAGTCTGTAAAAAATCGATACCATTACAGTTTTCAAATATTCGGAGAATTTCATTTGTTAAAAAATTACGAAGCTGTATTTTTCATAATTCATCTTACCTTTCTCCATTGTTTCCAGTCTTTTCGGGCCCCCGGAATGGAATTTAGTTCTTCGGCAGCCCTGTTCCACAGGTTTTGCGCTGTTTTAAACGTAAAATTCTTTGTGAACTTCCCCTCGACTAATTCTTTATTTTCTTGCATGAACGAAATTAAATGTGTTTTTTGTTCACTTGAAATGTGCGCACTCTTCGTTCCACTCATGTTTTTTTATTAAATAAACTCACAAACTCTCGAATATAACTAGATAGCTCCTCGTCGTACGGAGTACAGTTTACAAGTGAACAAAATGACCAAACTTAGAAATAAACAACTTAATCCCTAAATCGCTATTTCCGTCCCAACTTTCGAAACTGCTGATAACATTCAGCCTTCCGTCCCAACCGTCTTTGAGAAAAGAGAAAGTCGTCTTTAGGAAAATTTCAACCCTTCAATTAGTAAGTGATTTAATACATTTTTATACCGGACACATGTTTTAGAATAAAACATAAAGAATTATGTTATTAAAAACAAATTATATTATTTGCTGTTTCCAGTTATATTGATATCACTTGATAGTTAACATAATATTCACAGTAAAACCAATAAATTCCATATTATTAACTTGCGGGACTTCCAATTAATCTTTGTTGTACTTAAAACGTTAAATTTTCCCTCTCATCTTCCATTGGTCGATAATGGTTTCTGACAGCAAAGCATCATCTAGGCCGTATGAACTTATCTACGACTGTACGCAAATACGGCGCATGCGAAATTGTATTCGTCTAGCGCTCAAGAATACAGAGCGTGCGACTTTCATCTTTCGCATACGAAATCACCATGCGACGATTTTCGTATACGACTTGAAGTCGCATGAGTTCAAGAATAGGGCCCCAGCAGTTCACCCGAATTTGTAGGAGGACATTTAGCAGGTAGTTGTACTCATAAAATTATGGTCACTTTCGTTCGTGAGTAACGATCGTCCCTGCACGGACTTGGGTTATTCTACTTTCTAACATCTGGGGATTACCGGCACGCGACAACTTTAAGTTGTAAATATCTCTTACTATTGTACTACGGTTCGTCTCGTTATTGCCAATAAAATTTTATAGGGTAGAACAAACTATACAAATTAGTAGCGAGCGGATTTATAAACACAAAAAAATTAAGAATAAGCGCTTAAATAAGCACAACATTTTCAATAAAAAAGTTTTATTTTAAGCAAAAAAGCATTAAATAAGCATAACACTTTCATTAAAAAAGTTTTATTTTAAGCAAAAAAGCATTAAAAACATAATCATATTACAAATCAAAGAACACTTCTTAGAACTTTGGATAAAATATTATTACAATAATCCTAGACTTTATATTTTACACACGTATTTCAGTTTTCTTTAAAACAATTTATGATTGTAATATGTTCCAAGTTGTCCAGTGTAAAATTTTTTCGCCGATCATTTAAAATGTGTTTAAAATTGGAGAATGTGCGTTCAACATCCACACTCGTTGTTGGCGCAAATTTGAATTTTGTTGTTGAATCTAACTCCAAATTTTCCACCTTCTGGCCTTGTAAAACACGAGCAACGTCTAAAAGAACACCGAAACCTGCATTTTTATTTAACACTTCGTCAAGTTTTTGAGATACTCTAGTACCAATATCACCCCTTACTGCGTTTGCTTGTTGTTTAAATTCTTTCACTAAGTTTATGGCATCTACCAACAACATGTTTGGTTTTTCTAACTTTTCTATTACCTCACATACGAATTGATAATTGCTTCTTAGAAAAGCTAAATGTTGTCGCAAATCTTTGTTTTGCAAAATATTTATGCAATCTTTAATCGATTGAGAAGAATCTTCGGTAAACTCCGTAACTACTTCCTCAAATTCTTTGATATATTTGTCATAATAAAATGTGGCATGTAACCATGTTCCCCACCTCGTTATAATCGGCTCTGGGGGCAATGGTATGTTTGGAAATTTTTCCTTAAAATGTTATACTCTTAGTGGGGCTTTAACAAAAATCTTTTTACCATTTGCCACTAATTTATTAACATTAGGAAACTGCAAACGTATTTCTTCAGCCACTCTGTTTAAACCGTGGGCAATGCAAGTAGGGTAAATTAAATTGGGCTACAATATTTTTAGATTATTCCCTGCTTTCAACATATAACGAGCTGCATCCGAGATCATCAATAAAATTTTATTTGGCAAAAATAGTGACGTAAGACTGTCATTTACAAATCTGGTAATCGTATTGCCATTTGTTTTATCTAACATTTTCAAACTTACTACATACCCTCGACTAGGGAAATTTTCATTTAAGATTCCAACAATTAAACTTGCCACGTATCTTCCACAACTATCGGTTGTTTCATCGACAGCGAACCTTAAATAATTATCTCCAATGGGATGTTTAATTTCGTTGTAAACTTGCTGAAACACTGGGCCTACATAATTTTTTCGGAGAGTACTTTCAACCGGAATATGTCGATTGCAGTGTTTTTCAAGGAATTCTTGAAGAGGGCTTTTCTCCAATTTTTTTAAAGGTATATTGGACTGGATCATCATTTTACATAAATCGAAATTAAACTGAAACTGCTCATCGTTTCTGGAAGTAGATGCAACAGATTCATGGTCTGCTGTTTAATTTTAGAAACTTCAAACATTTTCTTCCTTTCTACATGAAGAGTCGTTCTGACATGTTGCGTCACGTTATATTTTTTATCACTTTGAATCTAAAACAACGTACATATACAGGATCAACAAAGGAAAATAGATAAAAGAAAAATAGTGGCCTTACGGTTTTCACACAAGCTCTGCAGAATATTTTGTTGTTTTCTAATTTTAATTCTGGAAAATCTTGTATCCACTCATCCGGCGTCGATTTTACTTTCGGCACTCTTTTAAAATACTATTAATATTACCAAAAAGAACTCAACATGTAACAACGAAGAACCACGTATAACACTGTACTACGACAGATGCTATAGATTGATGGTTGTGAAATAAACGGTTCATTTACTTAAAAGTTTCCATTAGAAAAATTTTAAGGTAGGTAGTTGGGTACAATAATCCTTTTTTTTAGAAAATCTTCAACGGTCTTGCCGCAAAATGCCGAAAAAGAACATCTGGTTAAAAGCTTTAATTCATTATCAACGGAAGTAAGGATTTAAAGTCATAAAATCTATGGAGTATTTTTCCAATCCTATAATAAAATTTTATTACCCAAACGACCGGAACCTATTCACAGAAAGGGTCTTGAGTAAGTGTACTTCGATGGTCAAGTCTAGGTAAAATGCATACGATACGATACGCCTAACTAACAAGTATTTGTCATCCCGACAAGGCCGGCATTTGAACAAAATATGCATTAAAACTCATATTCGTCGAAAAAAGCATTAAATAAGCATATAAGTTTTAATATGCATAAAATTGAAAAAAAAAGAAAATAAGCACAAAAAAAATGTGTCATATGACTCCAAATTGTATCATAGTTACAGATAAAAAAAAGTTTTGAAGCGCTTACATTTTTCACAAAAAGCATTAAACCTAGAAATCCGCTCTCTATTAATTACAATTTCAATTAGAATATACAAAGATATGGTTGTGTTGTTTTTGTAATAATTTGATAAATTTTCATTTGACAACAATATAATAATAATATCGATATAAGACGAAGGTACAAATCACCAAAAATCGAACAGGCAATTATAAATGTTTGACGTATCGAAAATTGTCAAAGTTTTCAACGTTTAAAATGTTCGCAGTTAATTTTAGGTTCCCTGGTGTTTTATTTTCAGATAAATTTAAAGGAATCTGATGTTTTGTTGCTGGATGAACTTGAAAAATTCTTTTGAGCTTTTAGTCTTTTATTTTTTACGAATTTCAAAACTTTTTTTTAGATTCGGGAGATTCATGGTGTACTATTTTTTTTTTTGTAAATTATTTAAAACAATTTTGGGGGACTTTGCTGTTCTAGTTTTGGAAAATTCTAACCTGACCTGTTTTTGAGTTAACTTTGGGACCTCATTTTTTTGTTCCAAGTATTCCTGTTTGGAAAGAATTTGAAAGTGCTTTGGAGCCTCTAGTGTCTTTCAATAATTTAATGAAATTTCTTAGAGGACACGTCATTTGCTAAAATCAGTCTTATCTTAGCAGATACTAACCCCGCCCACTCACCCTCTCTTTTATTAGAGAATATGTCATTTACCAAAATCAGTCTTAGCAGGTTCTAGCCCCGCCCACCCACCCTCTCTTTTCTTGTAATGTATGTTATTTTCCAAAATCAGTTTTATCTTAGCAAGCAGTGATGATTGATTTTTACAAAAAATGATCAAAATTTGGAAACATTACGACCGGAGCTTACTTATATGCACAAAGCAGGAATTTTGAACATTTTCTCTAGTGTTTAGTTGGTTGGTTAAGCTTTAATGGATTTTTCTTTTCTTGGTTTTGTTTTTGTTTATAATTTATGAATGTTTTATTAAATGTTTTTTTTTTGTGTATTTATTAATGAAAAATAACAGCTTGTTTTACTAGTAATAATGCACAACGATTAATGACTACTGGTTGTTATGATTATTGTCCTAAAAAAAAAAATAAAAGGTGGATTTCAGTCACCATCGATACTAAGAAATTTGAAAGTATGCCGGAGGTTTCACGCATTAGGTGCGAACAGTGTTGCCAATTTTTCTTTTATAAAATTGGGTTTTTTTTTTGTAATCTACATCATACAGAAGATTTTTATTATTTTTTTGGGAATCCCGAAACTCCCGTACATAACACCAGATATAACTCTATGTCCTGTACATACTTTCTTGACTCCACCCTGTTACCACACAGCAGTAATTTTATTCCAAAATTCCAAGATTTTCGGGGTGTTTGGATCTTTTTTGCACTTAACACACGTCTGTTTTACCCTTATACATACAGCGTCTTTTCCCCATATTATGAAACACATTCTACAAAAAACTACAGAAGTAAATTTTGAAAAAACCTAAATTTACCTAGGTTACGTTTTAAATATTAAGTATGCCTTAAAGATACCTTGCAAAGTGGTAAACGTTATCTTAAATTTTTCTCAAACACTTATACTTTTCTGGAAATAACTAGTAACTGATTCTTAGTTTTTGAACAGGAAAAATTTTTAATAAAGGTTGGATTATACCTGTTATACCCAGAAAATTTTGCTCCTGTGAACATTAAACTAGGATTTACCATTAAC